TTTTATTATCAGACATATAAAGATACTTTAATGATTGAAATAATTCAGTTGAATCAACTAAATATTAAATAGAAGAAAAAAAAAATTTATTTATTTTCAAAATTTTTTAAAAATAAAACCTTGATTAGGCAATTTAATTTGTTCTATACCACAATTATTAATAATTAATTCTTGAAGAAATGGAAGTAAACCTAATCGATTAATAAATGGATCCCATTCTATTAATCTTTGATTATCTGATAATGATAAATTAGTTACATTTTTTATTTTATTAACAAAATTTTCTGATATAAAAGTTAAATGATTTAAATCTAAATGAATATCAATTAAATTTGGAAAATATTTTAAAATATATTCAAATGAATGACAATCATTATCTATATCAATAAGAACAATTTGTTTTATATTAATAAATTCATTTGATGGATTGATATCAAAATTGATTCGAGAATTACTAACATTTAAGATTTCTAATTTGGGAAAATATTTTTCTAAAATAATCCATAATTGAGACCAATTTTTAATTAAATTTTGTCGAATATTAAGTTCTTTTATCTGACAAAGATTATTATATATATAATCATTATCATCAAATTCGTTAACCCATTGAGATGATAAATCTATTCGAATTATTGATGATAATTCAACAGCATAATCACTATATTGTTTACCTTAATATAAAACAATAATTTGTTACTTTACTAAACATTTTTATACGAATTCAAGATATAATAAATACAAAATATCATTTTTTTTTAATTTCAATTAATCTTTACGAAAGAATTAACTACCAATAAAGATTATTTATTCTATTGAGAACAATATCGAGATTAAAGATAGTTTTATTCAGATCTTACTGATCAAATTGTTTAATAGATTGTCGAGAAATATTTTAATCCTATATGATATATTCTATTTAGAAATCTTAGACTTCCCCTTAGAGAAAATGGTTAGCAATTTCTGTAGCGTTTATCTATCTTAGCTCAGATGATAAGTTAAGAGATAATGAATCTTGACCAACAATTGACATAGAAGGAAACTATTGTATATATCATCTCGAGAATAAACTTTTTAAAAGATAGATCTTAGATATACACTCATTATGTTCTCACTATCTCGACTAACTTTTTCAGTCAAGCAGAGAAACGAAAGTTGTGACACGAAAAACTTTATCTCACAGGATTCTACCACTTACACAACTGACTAATTGTTTTTCACTTAGGATAATGTCTGTTATCTAGACACTAATCAGTTATCAATATGCTCAATATATGTTTGCGTCCTTTGCTAAATCCTAGGAAGATACTGCATTTTCACATTATTTATTAACCGAGAATGGTGTTCTTTCATAGAAACACGAGGAAAACAAATTCTTCATGTAGAGATAGATCTTAACCATAATAGTTTATGGGTAAATGTTCAATTGGTTTGATTTGTTCCTATTCTGAAGATAAAAATATCGAATTGTGGAGTATATATGAGCACAATTGTTTATCTCTAATATAGTTTTAAATGATTAAGATAAAGAATTAAATCGAATTTATCTTATTCTAAAATAAACTATTATTAAATAATTGTTTACACAAAAACTAGTCAATGATTAATTGATTTTTGTTCTATTGAGACGATAAAAGAAAGAAAAACTATGTTCTCTTTCCTATATGAAAATATTTTCTAGATCAATATCTTTATCATTTTGTCGGATTAGAAATAAACTTTAATTAACGAATATATTATATTCTCTTATAATAGATTAACATTTTTCAAATAGAATCTCGATTTAATTTGAAAATGTTGAACCAAATAGTCAATAGTAGATCATCTATTAGAAATAAAAGGTGTTCAGTCTCATTTATCCACTATTAATATGTAAAAGACAATGTTATTGCTGTTAATAATCATAGAAAGATGATTTTATTTTATTTATTATAATAGATAGTTTTTCATAATCGTTGAAGAATGAAATAAATAAGTAATAGTTAATATATTATAATGAGAGGTTGTTGATAGACGATCTTTGATCGTAAATAAACAATGTCTCTCACAATATGAAAACTAATAAAAGAAAAAAGTAGAGATAATTCGATATAGATTTGACAATCTTATCTTGATAATCATATAGAAAAAAAAAACTTGTATTAGTTTAGTTGATCTGTTCGATAAAATCTGATCTGTAATAGTATTAATATAAAATTCTAAAAAATGTCTAATGTAAATGTAATAAATATCAGTGTAAATTGAAAATAATAATAAATATAAAATACTAACCGAAAATCGAATAATTAATATCATGATTAATATAATCATTTGAAAAAGCTTTAATATATTGTTTATAAATAGCTTGAGTAAAAGAATTTCCATATTGAATTCTTTGTGGTCTAATAAATGCTCCATTAAGTTGATGTTTTGTTTGAAAATAAAATTTTCCATTAAAATATCCATTATGTTTTCCTTGTTGATTCCAATATTCAATTCCAATCCATTCTCCAGGATGATCATCAACTAAACCAATATATAAAATAGTTGCTGGAAATTTTCCATCAACTAATATATTATCACCAATTTTCATCTAAAAACAAAAAAAAAGATAATTTATTTATTTTTTATTTAAAGATCTTCATCAATATTAGATAAATCAAAATGTGTTTGATCATGAAAATGTTTATCATCTGAAACTTTATCTTGTTTATTAATTTGAATTGTTTTTTGTTTTTGTCTTTTAAATGGTTGATTAAATGATTGATATAATCTTTGAGCTTTTAATTGACCTAAACCAGGACAAACACATAATTGTTCATTTGATGAATTTAATATTTTATCTAATGAACCAAATCCATGTAATAACGTTTGAGCATCAGTTTTATTAATCGATTTAACCTTTAAAATTTTATTTTTTTTTAATTTAAATTTAAAAAAAAGTTCAAACCTGTGTAATCATATCAATAAATTTCGTTAAATAATCTGTTGATTGATATTGTTGTAGATCCATTAAATTTTCAGCTGATTTTCCTTCAATTATTTTATATGTTTCTAAATATTTAGCTGATTCTTCATCATTCCAACTAACAACAAGTGTTAAATCATATATTATTGAAAGACGTGCAAGTTCTTTTAATGATTGTGATGGTTCAGTTAAATCACATTGAACAAGTAAAATTTTTAATTGATATGGTAATTTATTTGATTTAAGACGATCATATATATAATTTGGATTTAATTGATGATAACGAAGAGATAAATATAATGCACATGAACTACGACTCATTGAATAATCAGCTCCACCTAATATCATATCAGAATATTCCCATTTAACTTGACGTATATGTTTTAATAATGGATTTCCTCGTTGACGAGAATGAACAAGAAGTGATGATGATGATGATGATGATGGAACTGCTCCTGATGATGGACGAACAGATGATACTTTTATTAAATTAAAAATTAACTTTTTCGATTTTTTTTGTCTAATTAAAAAAGTAAAAATTACTTGAAGAATCTTTTTCTTGAATAGGATTTGATGGAATTGTTGCAGATGATTTTGTTTCATTTATTGTTGATGAATCATCGGTTTTTATTCTTTTCGAAAATAAATTTGGTGATTCCCTTTTATTATGATCATCATCATCATCGTCAAGATCTGGTATAACATAGGAACGTGTTGTCATTTTCAAGATTTAAAAAAAAAATTTCTACAGAGAATTTAGTTCTCGACAAAAATCATCGCCTTATTCATAATGGATACTTTTTTAACCATTTATCTTATTCCTCTTATCATATAGATGACGCTGATCATCTCATTTCAACGAAACAAATATCACTTATACACACATATATGTATATACGAATAATCATATTAGTTAAAGATAAATTAATTAGAAAATAAAAATTCAATGAAATTCTAATAGGTAACTTTTAGTTTATTATTCTGACATGTTGTCTCTATTTTAATATGATTCATTTTTTCTTATTTTGGTTAATGAGAAATGTATATGAGAGTAGGAATTCGATTTGTTGCAGTTTCATTTAAACATTGACTATTATTTTTCTTTTCTCTGTTTTTATATTCATTTTTTTCCAGTATTTTGGGTTCTTCGACTATAATGACAAATAAAATAAATAAATGAATAAGAAAAAAGAAAGTTAGCCTGAATAAATCATTTTTGTTTAATGTAATATGTATATTGTTTATCGAATTATTTTTAGTAAAATTTCTTTCATTTGATAAAGTCGATATCGTCAGACAATGAAAGATAAAATATTGTCATGGCACAAAATCAATTGAGTTTGTTCGTTTTCGTAATCAAAGATGTTTAAATCGGTGGTTTGTTCAATCTTTTCTTAATTTAATTTCGAAATAAAATCTTTTAATGTTAATTAAAAATCTAATGAATAACTTAAGACTGATACGAGTATATCAGCATAATACCAAGAAAACAATGAGAAACCCTAAGCGGATTAAATAAATCGAGTAAAATGAAATCTTCAATGTATACTGACGTATATTTTTCATTGAAAGCTTGAAAAAATTAGGTATGAGTAGGAGCTCTAGTCGAACGTCTCATAAGCAAGTTCTTGGCTAAGATGTAAGGTACAGAAATATTAACAGACCTTGAAAATTTAGGTACAGGATAATTACAATATCTTGTAGCAATATCTTTAATTAGATCTTGACCATCCATCAACTAAAATAATTAAGATATAATAACGTGACATTTCTTGCTCAATATCTTTACTAGATCGTGGCCAATCATTCAAGAAATCACGATCTCATGCAGAGATTATCATCAGGACGACGATTTTAAAAATTTTTGAGACGAATAGTAACCTCTAACTTGCCTCCTTGCGCTTCTAACAAAAATTTGACTTGAGATTTAGGGTCAGTATCATATTTTACATCAGATTAGCTATTTCAGAACTCTTTAAAGGCATCCATCAATCAATATTAGTTATCTTTTTTTTTTGACGATATCTATTTCAGCCAAGATTACTTGTAAATCTGTACTCGAGATTTAATTACTGTTTTCGGTACAAGATCATATTATTATCTTGTCTGTGAGGTGTTAGTTTTCTCCTGAATAATAACCATCCACCAAGGTTTTACAGAAAATAACATTATTACAAGAGAACATAAAACGACTTCGATCAATAGAAAAGAATAACAGAATAACAAAAATAAATTCTTAAGTTATTTAACTGAATAGTATTATTCTTGTAGGTTTAATTCAAATATTAAATTCATATTAATCAATCATTACGTTTTGTTGCTCAATAATTTTTCAAATAAACAAATTAGTTTAGAAAGAAATCGTTTAACAATAGTCGGTGTACATTATACACCAATATCTTATACAAAACTGAAACGCATCGAATGTCATAACTCTTCCAGTTTGAACGTATCAAATGTTTTTCAACTATTTAATGCGGCAGCTGAAAATCATATTCTTGATCATTCTTAAAGTCATAAGCGAAATAGTCACGAAAGCACATTCTATTATGAGGTTATTGTTAAACATCATGGAATTGTACAATGAGAGATTTTCCTTCCTTTTATCTTTAAAATATTTCTCATTAGTGAATCATAGTCAAAGCAATATCTTCTTTCACAACAAATATTCAGCAGGAACTGATAAACTTCGAAGCATGTTACTCAATTAATTCATTTAGAATATATTCATATCTATCGTATTTTACATGCTACATTCCAGAAAGATGTAATCATATGAGAGAATATGAATCATTCTTGTTTGTTTTCATCGAAACATGATAGATATGCCCATATAGTTATTCATTATATAGCTGTTGTGATCGTAATAAAACAGTTTATCTACCAACATTAGGGTGTCCATATATTACTAATCATGCAATGCTTCCTGACTCATGAGAATCAAGGTTGTTCAGAGTCCATGAATTACATAACAACGAATTACATTAGACAAGCTTTTTTATTAGAAATACAACTCGTTTTCTTTTGTGTAGATATTCTCAATATGTTTTAAATGTTTAATCATGAAATATTTTCCTTACCATTTATTGATCGTCATCGATTAGATCGATGTTATAGGAAATG